TATAGATAGATATATAGACTATAGACATGGTGCATGAAAATTCATGCACTGGAGTTGGGGGGGGATGAGTTTCCCCTCAGCCCAGCCTTCCCCCTCTCACAGTCTGGGAAACCTCAGGGCCGGGAAGTGACCTGGCGATCAGGGGAAGACAACACCCCATCACACCTCTGTTGCTGTCACTGCAAACCTCAACCAGTTCTGGGCAGCTGGGCACCACCATCTTTGTGATGATGCAATGGTCAATTAGCATATCACCACTAATAAGATAGGATTCCAAAGCATTCAAAGTGCCTCATACTCCCCTGAATAGTATCGATAGTAGCTCTTTTAAAACTCACTAGAGGCCCAAGCACACAGATTCATACAAGAATGTGTCTTCCTTGCCCTGGCTGCTGGCACTGCCTTCACTCTGGCCTGGAGCCACCTTTCCGCCTCCCCACGCTGCTCAGTGCCTGTGCATGCAAATTAATCCACCATATTTGTTAGATTAATTTGCATATTCACTTCTGATTGGTTGGTGTCACAAAGGTACGATCAATTTACATCTTTCTTTTATTAGTATAGATAGTATGCAGAAAGCATTTTATACCCATAGAAAAGCAGTATGCTAAAGGATTTAATAAGCATTTAAATCAGAGAAAGTAACAGTATTTAAAGTAGAAATCTACTTTTACTAAATCAGAACAGTTCTAAATAATGGGTGAAAGAGGTTAATTAAAAGCAGTACTTAAATTGAGTTTGGAAGCTGAAGAACTGGCACTCAAAGATATCTCAAAACTTCTACATGTATACAAGCTGTAGGTGCTAGCAAGAAAAATCTCTAAAACAGTAGTTCTGAATTGCAATTCTGTGCCTTACTGCACTCTCCTCTGGGAACATTTGGCAATAGCTGGAGACAATTTTGGTTGTCACAAAGGAGATAGTGGTATCTAAGTGGGCCAAGGCCAGCCAAGCTAATACCTTACAATGCTTAGGGCAGCACCCCAAGACAGAATTATCCAGTCCAGAATGTCAACAGTGCCAAGGTTGAGAAATCCTGATCTAAAAAAAACATGCAGTTTTCTATTAAAGTATAAATTCTGGAGGAAAAGCATGGGTTTTTACTTCTGGAATAAGGAAACCGTTTATTTCCAGATTTCTTATGAAGGCCTTAGTTCATGGATGGTTAACGATTCTAACCAAGATGCACATTTATATCTTTTAAAAATACGCCAAGATTACAGTAAGCTACCACCATACACATTTACGTTGCCCTTGCCTAAGTAAGCAGTGGGTTTATATTAAAAGTGAAATGTCTATGAAACAAGTGAAACAGCCCTGCAGAGTAATAGGATTATTACAGACTAGTAAAACATGAATTATCATAGTATTACACATTAACCAGTTCGGAGTACAATTCTTTAGATGTTTATGTATGAGAGAGCATTTTAGAATAAAATCACTCAATGTGCATAAACCATTAGTTACTGCTAATGGCTAAATTCACCAATTTCAATACTCCCTAATCCAGAATTTCAGTTCACAGAATATAAGCTTTTTCTTTTCTAAAACTTAAATGAACCAATTCAATTTGCCAAAATCACAACTGATCATTAAGATCAGAAAAAAAAGGTATGAAGAGGTCAGGGTATTAAGAGTCCCTCTACTAAAGATCATTCTGAAACCTGATACACATTGACATGATCTAACAAAGTTAACATTATCTGAAATACTCTCCTCAGTAATTTTAATTGAAGTTGGCTTTTGTTATAAAAAACAAATCCTATTTTGAATTTAGAGCTAAGTTACAAAGAGCAAAAACATGTTGCCAATATTATTTTGCCTTAAATTACAATATTAAGTGTTCACAAATCTTTATTTCTAGTATTAATAGAAAAGTAAAGCAACTTACTGATTGTAAAAGGAACTATATAATTTCAGTATGCATCTTTCTTAATGGCCTCATCTAGTGAAGTTGTGGCAACTTACCACCAAATACTTCCATTGTGTTCCATTTTGCAACTGAAGGTATCAGTTTTAATTAACTAGAAAAGTCAGTTAAATAAAAAGTATCCTTTTTCCATATAGTAAAATGAACACTGTATTGTCCCTTTTCCATTTCATAGAGGATTGAATAAGATTTCAAAAAAGATGAATCTGATGTGGCAGTGGTTTAAAAATTAGAACTCAATTTATAGCTAGAATCTGAATTATTTTGCTAAAGTTTTAAGCTCTTTAATATAAAAACTCTTATTAGGTATATCTAGAGATTAGCAGTTAATTTTAACACTTTATTTTGGGTAAAACTTAAAGTGAACAGAAATGGCCCTGGACAGGGTGGCTCAGTTGGAGCATTGTCCCGTACACCGAGAGGTTGCGGGTTTGATCTCCAGTCAGGGTATATGCAGGAGACAACAGATGGATGTTTCTCTCTCTCCCTTCCCCTCCCCCTAAAATCAATAAAAACATGTCCTTGGGTGAAGATTACAAAATAAAAAATAATAAAGTGGGCATAAATGTTCAACTTCTTAAGTTGTGAGATATTATTATATACTTTGTCATGTGGTTAAGTATAACTTACAAGGCCTCTTAACCAGGTAACTGAATTTTTCAATGAGGATTTAGTATCATTATTTTGAACTTCATGCCTTTATGATATCCGAGATTGAGCTAGATATAAAGGTATCAGAACATCTCTTAGAATTGGTTAAATTAGACATGACCATTATTTCTTTACCTTTTACCCAATAAAAGTGTTTAAAATGACTGATTTGGTTATTTAATTATGGTTACATAAAAATTATGTAAAAACTGAAACATTTGATGAAGTCATTGTATTCCAATCTTCTAAGAATTCTAATTACCAATGGGATCTTTAGATATCATTAATGAATAATATGACCATAATTTTAAAATTATCATTCAATGCTACTGATTTTATAAGTGTTTAGGTTAGGCCTTGCTATACCAAAAATACCTTTCTACCTTATTTTCATAAAATAACCTAAACTCTTAAAACAACTCCATATTGAGTTTTCTTTAAAAAGAAATCAGGTGAATCCAAACAATTTAAGCATCCTCAAGGAAATCAGCAAACAGCTCTTTTCTTACAATTAACTTTTAGATCTCCTAAAGAACCTACATGTGTAGAAATGCTAAGCAGAACTAGTTAATAATCTTAAAAGACCAATAAGCAGCCTGAGTGGCTGATTATGACTGGACCTCATACCTTGCTACCACCATATATCAGTATCAGGATGTCAACAGTAGAAGTATGGGGTTCATCAGTATGACTTGGTATTTAAAATCTGAGCATTCTTCTGTTACTCATTTTATGTATGTGACTATACATTATATATGTAAACCTATCTACTACTACAAAGAGCAGGACCTATTTTTGTATTAAAAGACAGAATTTCAGCTATATTAAAAAAAATTAACCATCTTTCTAAACTTAAAAAAAATATGAAAGGTTAAAAAAGGGAGAAATCCAATACATGAAAAATATTTGAATTTAACTTTAGATAATTAACTAAGACATCACACAACATATGCATGTCAGTTTCCTATTTGGTCCTAGAGCCTGCAGTAATGTAATTTATTGTGAAGCCATGAAACCAAATACTCAAATATATCCACAACATCTATACCACGGTAATGTATAGTACATATATATACTAATGTCTCAAAATAAATTTCTATACAATTTTATGCAAATTATGGTATACGATTATCACCTGCCACATTCTGAAATGGCACCAACTTCATGTAACATTCCATGTCAATGTAATGTTTTATGCATTATCATCTGAATATTCAAAATTAAGCTGTTAACCTAATAACCACAGTATGTCACCAATTCAAATCACTGCATATTTAGATGTTAAAGCAGGTAGGTAATACAGCAGAAAAAAATATTTCTAATTCACAGTTTCAAAAATAAAGGGTGCAGTTTTCAAATATCTGACTGCTTAGAACTGGTCACTAAATTTAACAACTGCCTCCTTCAATACATGTAAACTATGTTTTGCACAGCATAGGAGATGTCTTTATTCAGAAGATAGTTCTTACTGTTACAGGAGCACCACAAATTTGAAGGAAGAGGCTACAGTGTGAAATGAGTTCACTGAAGGATATGTTCAAAAAATTTCAACTATGGTATAAAGTACTGCAAAGCTTTGTTTACCCCAGGAGAGACCCCTTAATCAGGAAAAGTAGTCAATGTTTACCAAATACAATATGGAAATTAGCTCTACAAGAGAGGGGGGGAAATCTAACTCAATTAAAAGGAAATGCTATAATTAGCTAACAAACCTGTGGCAGTCGGTTTCAGAATTTCCTAAAACTAAAATTTAAAAGCATACACAGTATTTATATCCTTTGATAATGGGACACAGAGATACAAATGGAATGAAAGAAAAAAACTGGCCTTAAGAATTTAATTTCCTAAGTGGCAACACACACACAAATGGGTAACTGAGAAAAACAGTGTACTTAAATATTCAAATTTTAAATGTATAAGAAAATTTATAATAAAAAAGAGTGGCAAATTGTTATTATGACTTGATTTGCTGAAAACATCGGCAAATTCACACTGGCATTAAGAAAACCAAAGTTTCAAAAATTTACTCCTTACTTTCTCTCCAGATTTGTATTCTGTGCAAAAATAAGTATCTGCAAATTGCACTAATACAATACTTGTTTTAACTTTTGTATTATGAATAATCTGCACATGCTGCTTTACAGACAATACATATTTGTAAACTTGCTCATGCAAAAATAGTGTGCGCAACAGGGAAATTGCTAATCCCTATATTTAAAAAAAAAATGATACCTTATCTTTTTTAAATTGCCAAATCCTCCAAAATGTAACAAATCTTACAAATATTCTTCTCTGCCAGCTAAAAATCAATTTATGTTGCTGAAACAAAAAGTTATATAAGGAAAAGAAACATGGTTTTTGTCTTGCAGAATTTTTGATTTTTAAATATGAGAAATTTATAAAAGAAAGGAATTCATGGTCACAAAATTTTAACATTTTAATCCTAAACATTACAGGGCAAATAGATCCTGGACCCTATCTCCATATTCCATAAATCCTAACTCTTAGTTCCCATTTTAAATGTTGCCCTAACCACTAAAACACTAGTGGTTTTACAACCTCTGGGTTATGGAAATACATATTTCTGAAGTAAATGTTACAAAAACAAAAATGGAAGAAAGCCAAACTGTCTCCATGAAGGAAAAAAAGTGGAACATTTTGAAGGTTTTAGATACTTCTCTTTCCATGTCTTATGATTAACCTGTCAATTCAGTGCATCATAAGGTCAATGTCATGGTCCTCATGTTGAACAAACATCTAACTAGTGTCCATTGATTCCAAGTTAGTGGAGGATGAATCTTTTTGGATACTTTCAAAAATGGCTGCCAGCTCAGGGTTGGAACTGATCTGCGACTGGAATTCACTCATCAGTGGACTCTTCTCTGCTTCTGGAATGGTCAGCAGGGCTGCTACTGCTCTCATAGCAGATCGCTTTAGTTCATCTTGCTTTTCAAACTCCTGCTTTACTGAGTTTGCCTTTACCTGTAACATTGAGTAAATTTATATTATATGCTATAAAAGATAAATTATCATACAAACAAAATTTAAGCACCTAGAAATTTCTGGTAAATAAAGCAAAGCTGCTCTTTTATAGGTCCAAAAGTCATGTTGTATTTTAAGCATAGTTGTTTTTAAATTTCCTTTTAGCAGTAATTTGTCTCCTTTTAAGTGAGTAAACAAAATCCTGAACCATGATTGAAACAGTGAAAATCTGAGCTTTATCTGCTTAGCAAGTCCTACTTTGGCCTCCACCAAGAAACTATCCCTCTAGACACTTTATTCATTATTCTTCAGACACATCATGCACTAAACATCTCTGTGCCTTAATTCATATGGAAAACCCATTAATTTTTATATGGAAAACCCCGTTTCACCTTCTGAATCTAAACGTATTTCTGACGTTTTAAGGTCCATTTTAAATGTCATCATGTTCATCTGAAATTTTCTGATACCATCCCACCTCCACCAGAATTAAACACTTCTTTTTTTGTGGAACAATCTCATTTTATTCTATATAAATACTTCAAAATATGCATCAAATTATTGTTATAAAAATAAAAACTTTAAAGAATAGTATTAAATAAATGCTAAGTATTCTAAAGCATCCACATTCAATAGGTTAACTTTTAAAACCTATTGCTACATATGGTGCTAGCATGGTTAAATTAGGACAACTAGAAATCTTGAATACACCAAATCCATCCTAAGTTGATATCTACCAATGATTACCTTAGTTGTACATGTGGCACGTAATGGCTCTACAAGCCGATCCAACCTCTGCAGTACTGCACTTGGGCAAAGGGTAGAGAGTCTCACCAACATTAAAAATGTTAGCATCTATTATGAATAAAGAAAGACAAAATGTGACCTCTTGTTATTTTTCTAAAGACAATTCCAAATTCTAACAAAGCTTTTAAAAGGAAAATGATCAGCACGCACCATGCAGTTTCATTTTCATGTACCGTAATCTGTCTCAAAGAGTTGCCGTAACCTTACCTAAGGTAATTTCAGTTCCAAGTACTACTGAGACATCACTTATAACTGGTAATGTGGTTCCAGTGTAAGAACTAGAAAAGTGGTTCTCAATCTTAGCCACATTAGAAGTGGGGAACTTTGCCCCATTCTCAGAGATTTTTACTTACCCTGTTAAAATAGGGCCATGGATTTAGAATTTTTAAGAAGCTCACGTGCAGCCCTAATTGGTTTGGCTCAGTGGATCAAGAGTCGGCCTGCAGACTCAAGAGTTGCAGATTCGATTCCAGTTAAGGGCATGGACCTTGGTTGCAGGCACATCCCCAGTAGGGGGTGTGCAGGCTGATTGATGTTTCTCTTTCATTAATGTTTCTAACTCTCTATTCCTCTCCCTTCCTCTCTTTAAAAAAAAAAAAAAAAAAAAAAAAAAAAAAAAATCAATAATTTTTTTTTTTAAAAAAAAGCTCACATGCACCAAATTGTGAAAGCATTAAGAAAGCAAGTGAACCAGGAGAAAGGTTTTTATAGTTTTTACTATCTTAGCAGATAGTAGAAAACAAAAACAAAAAAACTGGTTATTCAGATTAATCCACAGAAAACCTGGTAATCCATAACCATTTTTCTATTGACTATAAACTGTAGATTTCAACAGGAAGATCCTATTATGTCTTTGGGGGCTCTTTTTAATGGATCTGGGAGGGGTCAGGTTATTACCACAAATGGAAACAAAATGTTGGAGTTCTGAGTCTGGCTGCATAACTACTCAACTACTATTTTTGCCTGCATGACCAAAGGCCATGAACTGAAAAAAAGAAAAAGAGACAATGCACTTACTATTTTTCAATTTACTCTTTAATAGTTTACATTTGAAATGAACATGATCAAATAGGAAAACAAAGAAGAGTTCATTCTCTAAACCTAAAAAGTGGTATGATTTCTCTTCTAGTTGCTTCTACATAGATTGTTTAGGCATCTAAAAATAGTTCTTGCATGTTATCCTTTAAAAAAATACTTGATATTAATCCCAATGTATTAGTCTGAAAAACAAAATCCCCCATTCAGGTAAATAATATGGTTATCTTGTAAAACTAAAGAATATCCTCCATAGGTAGTAACTGCAGCACACTTTTAAGACATGCCAAACAGATCACAGGTATACTTCAACAAAACCTATCTGTTCTCTTTGGAGGGAAAACACTTAGGGACTATGTGCTAAGCAAGCTGCACAGAATTTCTTAGAATTTCCCATCCATGACCTCTTCCTTCAATGAAAAGGTTCTGGATTTTTTCTGTATGTCAACTAATGTTACAATTATACCACTACTACTTTTGCATATTATAGTTCATTGACAAGCAAACAATTTTTCTCACTTAATAGACAAAAGTAAATTACAAGGGTCAAAGTCACTGTAGTTAAGTCTTCTAAAACATTCAAACATCTTACCTTAATATCGTAATGGTCCTTCAAACCATCTTCAACATGATTTAGAAATTCAAAGATATCTAGTCTATCAAGGCAACTGTCTAGAAGTGTGTACATACACTCAAAAGCTGCCTTTCTAATATCCAGGCCGTCATCAACTGTATGCTTAAATGGACCCATTTCTACCTGTTGAAACACAAAAGAGTATATGCATACACTTAAAAGTAAAAGATAATCTTAGAGAAAGTGTAATCGAACTAACTAGCTTACCTCTCTTATAAGCTCCTTTCTAACTTTTGTTTCATTGTAAAGATGTGGAAGAACAGAGTCTAGAAGATCCCTTATTAAAGATGGCTTATTATGTGCCGCTGAATTGAATGTGACCAAGGCTACTCTTCTTACATTCAAATCTGGGTCTTCCAATGTCTTTAGGAAATCACCTGAGAAATTATAAGAGAAGCAACATACAATTAAGATAAGCTTAAAAGAAAATATATGTGATACCTTTTTCTAAACTGATAGTTTATTGTAGTTGGTATTGTTATTTCTTCAATATGGGTTAGGAAAGAACATGATGAAATACTAAGTGAACTATCTAGTTTCTTTTGGCAGCCTACCATCATATCTCAATGTGAGTGGATTTAATTGATAAGCTACTCTCAAGCGCCTATAATTCAGAGCAGTGACGACCAACCGGTGGTCCGTGAGGTCCAAAGGTTGGTAACTGCTGGTTTAAGGAAACCTTTGAAGCAGTGGTCACCAACCAGCGGTTCATGGACCACTCCTGGTCCATGAAGTCAGAAAGGTTGGCGACCACTGATACAGAGGATACATGGTGAGTATTCAGAACATTCCTTAATTACTTTATAATTTATAAAAAGGTAGGTTGCAAAGAGAAGTGGCGGAACTCTGCACAAGGCACAGAATCTAATAACTTGAATGAATGTCCTTAAGAGTTCAAAACTAACTACTACACTAAAAACAACCTAAACAGAATTTTAAAAACTGAGTTCAAAATAAGATAAACAAGGTGAGGACATATCCATTGCTTGATAAAGATGAAATACTGCCCAAACCAGTTTGGCTCAGTAGATAGAGCTTCGGCCTGCAGACTGAAGGGTCCTAGGTTTGATTTTGGTCAAGGGCGTGTACCTTGGTTGCAGGCACCTCCCCAGTAGGGGGTGTGCAGGAGGCAGCTGACCGATGTTTCTCTCAATGATGTTTCTAATTCTCTATCCCTTACCCTTCCTCTCTGTAAAAAAAAAAAATAAATAAAAATCAATATATATATATATTTTAGAAGATGGAATACTGTTAACAAGTACACAATCTATGAGATGACAAAGAGCAATGTGCCTCCAAAAGTCCTATTTTTATATGTATCTTTAATGAGAAATATATAAATTGGTAAAAGGTAAGAATACAAAAGGAGGAAACTGAAACCTAACAGGACAAAAAGCTAAAGCGCCTAAGGCACTTTAAAACAGATATACATCTGGTTTTCTAACAAATGTGGGGGAGAAATTATAGTGCAAAAATATTTGGAGTCATATAGATGATGATTCAAACCACTTCATTTGTCAATTGTATGACTTCTTGCAATTTACTTTAGGCAAGAGTCTCGGTTTCCCAGTTTATAAAATGAGAATTATAAACATTTTAGGGCTACTGAGCAGAAAAAATACCATGTATATTATTGAATACAGTGCCAAGTATGCACCTGTATTCATACATGGAGCTATCATTATCATCAGCAATCTTTTAGAATTCACAAGGAAAAAGAGAAGTGCCAGAAGACTTAAATGTATCACAACAGCAATTTTAAAAAATGGGAGGAAAGAAATACTTCAGACACCACAGATTGGTAAACTCAATGTTGACCATCCAGGAAAGTTCTGATTAAAAAAATTTAAGAGATAGCTTGGGTTAAAAAATAATTTAAATGTACCATACTAAACCTCTTCATCCTGTTGGTTTAGAGTTACTAAGACATTAAATTAGAATATTAATTGAAATGAAAATGCTTTCAGTAAAGCATCTAAATAAAACATTGCTATTATTATGGACAAATGGTGACATGGACTAGGATGAGTGTTTCTCAACTCTGGTCTAGGAATTTGTTTCTAAAAAGCTTCCTAGGTGTTTATAGGATGTTCATATAATCACAAATAATACTGAACTCAACCATAATGCAATTAGAACAATAATCACTTGATTGAATAACTACACCTACGTTGAACAATGACTGTGGTCAACCTGGAAAGATGTCTCTAGAGATGTGGCACAGGTCTTTTTCTTTGTCCTAGCTTATACAGTATCAAATGTAAATAAATATACCGGGAGGGGTGGGGTGGAGGGAGGAGAAGAATAAGGGGAAACAAAGGCAAGAATTTTTGGATAGAAAATCTCTTTGAATTATTTCTAGGTTCCAACAATAGCACCCATTTATCCCTGGTCCTCTTTACTCTGAATGGCAATTCCTTTCTGTAGTTCTTTTAGGTTGTTTTACCCCTTTCTGGCTCACTATAGAATAATCTGACAATGGGAAGCTTCTTTCCCATGTCCTTCTATCCTCTCTACTTCTATTTCTGTTCTTGTGTCCTCGAGAAAACACAAAAGTGAGTTCTCAGGGCTTTTAGCTACTAGTACTACCAACTCTAGAAAAATTGATGATGAAAAAAAAACACAGGAAAGTTATGACAACATGTAAAAAGTCCTCAAACCTAATTCTTGTCTTCACAGAAATAGAGAGCCCTAGGTCCTCTTAGTTTTTCTGGTAATTATCTTTTTTATTCTTAGGTTGTTACATAAGGTAGTTTCAATAATCCCCTCAGGAATTGAAGGGGTACATGTAATAAGAGAAAATTTGGGCCCTAACAGCTCAGGTTAAGATTCATTTTTCTGAGAGGAAATTTCAGGACTATTTAGAGTAGGGGTGTCGAACTCAATCAGAGAAGGGGCCAAAATCTAAAATCCAGCCTAAATCGCGGGCCGAATGGTTTACTGAACAGTCATAAACTGTCATTGTGATGGAAACGCAGCGGAGTGCAGTGATGACAGCGTGGTGCGGGCCACATTGCAAGGCCTGGCGGGACGGATTTGGCCCGCGGGCCTTGTGTTTGACACATGTGATTTAGAGAGATAAAATATTCTCCCCTAGTTATTTTAGGCCATCCCCAGAATATGATTATCAAATGTATAGTTGACTCTATAGGCATTTTAGTGTGTATTTACTAATTTCAGTTATTTACAAAATTATCTGGTAACAATTTCAAGCTAAGGGGTGACAGAATGTAAGTATAAGTATGTAAGATCATACATTAGCAACATCTTTCTAATGAAACAATTACCAGCCCCTTGAAAGCACTTTAGGTTGTTACTTTGTGAAATTCTTAGTTATTGAAATGATTTTTGTTTTTGTTTTACAATTAAACTACTAAATAGTTAATCAGTATGTTTATCTTTTTTTCCACTTACCTATGCAGTTCTTTAATAGTGGATCAATAGGTTGTGGATGATCAGAAATAGTAAATTTCACAGCTGTAACCACTGAGCTTCGGGCATATGATGAGCCTAATTAAAAATAAATATCAGTATATTGGTATGTAAGTCTACTAAAATCCATGGACATGTTTATCATTTTCAAACCACTTCAAATAACACTAGTGTTTTCAATTTTTTTAAATTTTCTTTGGCCAGAGAGGGTATTGCTATCAAAATACTAACAGAGCCGAAACCAGTGGATAGGGCGTCAGTCTGTGGACTGAAAAGGTCCCAGGTTCGATTCCGGTCAAGGGCATGTACATTGGTTGTGAGCACATCCCCGGTAGGGGATGTGCAGGAGGCAGCTGGTTTATGTTTCTCTCTCATGGATGTTTCTAGCTCTCTATCCCTCTCCTTTCATCTCTGTAAAAAAATCAATAAAATATATATATTTTTTAAAAATACTAACAGAGATGAGCAAAGTTTACTTATGAAACATAATCAATATAAAGCCCTAATATTCAAATAGACCAAACAGCAGAACAAACAACCAGTCTCTATGATGTGCACTGACCACCAGGGAGTGCACACGGGTCATGGTGGGCGTCGGCCATGGCAGAATGGTGAAGTAGATGAGTGAGGACACCAGACCAAGGTAGGGTGCCAGTCGCTATCATCAGGATGAGCCTCTGGTGGTTACTAAAAATTCTTTGCTCCCACGTGCCAAGGTCCTACCTGGTGCTCACACCTGCTGCCGGCACTTGGCACCAGCACCAATCACTTGTGAGCAGAGGCTGCTGGCCCCCATTGCTTCTCAGAGCTTCTCCACCTTCCTCTGCTCCTGAAGGGCAATCAGGGCCAGCAATTGTCACTCACACCCACTGCTGGTGACAGCTCCGCTTATAGCCGCTGCAGGTGTGGGAGTCGCTGCTCGCACCTGCTGCTGGCACCCAGTACCAGTCCCGATTGCTCGGTGCTGTCAGCCCTGCTCGCACCCACTACTGGCGCTGGCTCCAATAGGATGTAATAGTTCTATTATATTTCTAAATAAACAATATCTTCGAGGAGTAGTCCTGGGAGAGTAGCAGTGGAGGATCTAGCCCTCACAAAAGGAAATTAATTATAAATACCTTATATCTTCAAGTTTTTTTATTTTAAAAGGAAGCAACTTCTAAGAATAAATGGCTATTATTACCTTCTACTTCACTCAAAGGATTTACACTACTAAATTTGGAAATTCTTCTAGCATCTTTCATTGAACTAAAGTGCATTAATTTTAGTATTATAATTATTACTAGCAAGTTCCTCAGGATATATTAATTCAAGAGACACCTGTCTTTGCCACATTTTAAGACAAGAGTAACATTAGAATATAATAAAAATTAGAATAGACTTATTTAACCATTATCTAATTACACTCTCTTTATACTTTTAAACAAAGTTATTCAAATATGGCTCCATATTATAATATAAGGCAATGGGTTCTATATGTAACAAGATACAGAAATATTTTAAATTATGCTTTAGGCACCCTTTAAGGCAACCAACTGCTAATAATAAAAATTTTTTAAGATAAAGAAAACCTAGGCCCCTGGCTTGTGTGGCTCAGTTGATTACTGCATCATCCTGTATACCAGAAAGTGAAGGTTCCATTCCCGATCAAGGGCATATACCCAGGTCTCAGTTTCTACCCCTAGGCAGGGGCATGTAGGAGGCAACCAATCAATGTTCCTCATTCTTCTCTCCCTCCGAGATCAATAAAAAATAAATAAGAAAACCTGGGTACTCACCTGATATCAAGTACCCTTTAAGACGTGGGAGGAGAGTTTCTGGATCAATTAGAGTGAGTTTGCCTAGACATTCAGCAACAACATTTCTGGTTCCTTCTTCTGCACACTCACAGTGCTTTAGCAATAAGGCCCAGATGTTTTCAACATATGGTTTAAGGCCCACCACTGATGCAGAGCTAATAATTTCCTTCAAGGAATGAAGCAGAAGATACTGCCTTTTGGGTTGACTGGTTATTTCTTGTAAGACAAATGGTAGATATTCAGGAAGGTTGCCCACACTAATGCTGCCTAATGCATAAGATGCAGCTGATTTGACTTCTTCACTAGGAGACGAGAAGGCTTCTAATATTACAGATTTTAGTTCCAGTTGCCCACTTAAGTCAATATGATGCCCAACTTCTCCAAGAGAAAGTAGAGCTAAAAGACGAATAGAATCTGTAGACCTTGAGTTCTTAACATCTTGAATAAACTGACCTACTACAGCTGGTCCTTCTTTAGGGCATGCTCGAGTAAGAGCAGCTACACATTTGGCAATAGAATAATAGGACTGCTTGTGAGTAAGAGCTGTGCTCTGAGAATAAACTGGACCTGTCAGCATGCGCAACAAATCCATATATCCTAGATTACTTGTTCCAGTGACAACCAGAGCTTGGAAAAAGTCCAGCATGGCACTAAGAGCGCCCCCCTGCAATAAGGGTGATCTCACAAGTCCAATAAGTTCATTGAGAATGGATCCACTTATCTTTGAAAGGGAAGACGGATACACTTTTGCCAGTGTGGTAAGAAAACTGATAGCCATCTGTGAAACATGCATATCACTTTCACTGATAAGAGGTGGGAGCTCATCTAGAACTGCATCAATCATGGCAGCTGTCAAGCTGTCGCTGTAGTTTTTAATTAGAATATCTAGGGCAGAAAGAGTCCCCAGTTTCAAAGCTCTCTGGTTTTTCCTGAGAAATGAAGCAAGGATAGGAACCCCTTCTCCCAGGACAGGCCTTAAATCTATCTTCAAAGGTGACCCAGCAATCAGGGTCAACGCCTTCACTGTAGTTAGCCGGGTAATTTCATTCTTCAGTCTCTCCAAGAAAATCTGAAGTGTATTAGGCAAGTCAGAACCCAGATTGTCTCCAAGGTTGCAAATAATTTGTCCCATACAGGAAATAGCCCTTTCCTTGACTTCCTGATCAATATCAGCTGCTTTTAACCTCTTAATGGTACAGGTAAATAGATCTTTGATGTAAGGTGTTGCATCAAATGAGGAAGGTTGATCTAAGGGGCGAATTACTTTGACAAGCTGTTGAGTAACAAGAAGTGCTTCAGATGTAATTTTGTAAAATGGGTCTCCAACACAAGCCACCACTGGAGGGACCAAAGCCTGAACATGAGGATGGAAGACTTGAGGAGAGTGGTTACAGAGGATTACGTATAGACACGACAAAGCATCAATCTTCAAATTTGATGAGCTTGATTTGTCATTCAACGAGAAAATAATTCCTAAAAAGACAATAAAAAATTCCGATAATTTTTATATAATTTCAAGAAAAAATTTAAAAACTAATCCCTAAAATATTGCTAGTTTCTACTTCATCACATTATCACTAAAGTAGTAGAAATTCCACAAACTATGATGTCAGAGCCAAAAAGTTTAAGAATAAGATTTAACTTTTTACTTGCAAATTTCTAACTTTAGGTGTTCTAGATGGTTCTATAACAAAGCTTAGGACTATGTACAAATAAAGTTGTCACAAATTATCCTTTTGAAGAACTCATTTAAGCTTATCTAGGTCTTAATAAAGTCTATATTAAATTCCAAAAGTGTTACTCTTTTTTTTCATACCTGGTACAAGAACAGGAATGTGCTGTGTTAGGGCCCCAGGTAACACATTTACCAGTTCAGTTAACATGTTAAAACAGCACTGTCGAGTCTTCACACTTTTTTCTTTCATTTGTTTGTGCAGAGCTTTAACAATGTTGGGAACCTGTAATTATCACACATTCATTAGCTGTTTCAGCTACTGGTATTTCTTCACTACACTTAACACAAATTACAGAGGATGAAGAGAATGGGAAGAACTTACCTTTTTTTGTTAAATTCATAATTCCTCTAACTGCTAACAACACTATTAAATATAAACTTTGCTGCATCAATTCTGTTCTCTTGTAACTGTATTTGCTTGATACTGAGAGAAATACACAAGACTAAATATAAATCTAATCAAATAACAAAATTTTCAACCAAAATATTCAGAGCATAATTTATAATTTTTTTTTAACATGAATAACTCAGAAAAGCATGAAAAGAAAAAAGACAAATTATGGAAAAGAAACCATTAAATGAGTCCTCTTTTTTGCTTTTAGTTTGCCATTACAATGAAATCAACCTCATATCAAACAAGTAACAAGGGCATGATTAAAAAATGTAAGCTTCTAAATTTTCTATCCTAATGCTCTGTTAGTAAAACCTAAATAGGATACTTACTAATAAATCTTATGAATGCCAGGATACAACCACATATCATATCAAACAATGATCTGAGAATTACAGACAAAAGAAAACACCTAATTCACCATAGCATAATCAGAATTTCCTGTGTTTCTACCTAATTTCTATATACTGATTTAATTGTTTATGTCATCCATATACTTTATCTTATTTCTATAATTAATCTTCAATGTTCACCTTAAAGTTTACCACAAACCTTTTATTTTTTATTCTTATTTTTTTAATATATTTTATTGATTTTCCACACAGAGAGAGAGGGATAGAGTCAGAAACATCAATGAGAGAGAATCATCGAGAAACATCGATGAAAGAGAATCATTGATCAGCTGCCTCTTGCACACCCCCCAGTGGGGATGTGCCCACAACCAAGGTACATGCCCCTGACCGGAATTGAACCTGGGACCTTTCAGTCTGCAGGCCGATGTTCTATCCACTGAGCCAAACCGGTTTCGGCTACCACAAATTTTTTAAATTTGTAATACTTAAAAACAAGATAGATATGGTATATATATCCCATCCTCTGGTTTAGTTGTTTAATCTGGCTCACATGTTTTATAATCTATAAAAATGGACAAATATGTATCCCATTGGGCTGCAACAGGGATTACATATATGATAGGGAAATGCCTACCACATACCAAATGGGAACTATATAGATGTAGTGTTTAGGATCTCAGAAAAGATGACCTGAAGCGAAAATGTGTATTTTATTAACCATAAGAGCTGCCATTTACAAGTACTACCGTTTCCCCGAAAATAAGACAGTGTCTTATATTAATTTTTTCTCCCAAAGTTTCACTAGGTCTTATTTTCAGGGGATGTCTTATCTTTCCATGTGCTTATTTTCGGAGGATGTCTTATTTTCGGTGAAAAACGGTATGTATAAGGCACTACATTAAATGTCTACATAGATCATTTCTTCTAACACTACCTTAGGCTGACAGTTCTAAGTAAACCCTTATTATAAATGAAAAAAGTGAGGCTTAATAAAATGAATAAATAATCTAGCCTGGCTAGTGTGGCTCAAGGGTTGAGTGTGGACATATGAACCAGGAGGTCTCAGTTCAATTCCCAGTCAGGGCACATGCCCAGGTTGCAGGTTTGATTGCCATGCAGGAGGCAGCCAATAAATGATTCTTTCTAATTAATGATGTTTCTCTCTCTTCCTTTCCCTTCCTCTCTGAAATCAATAAAAATATATTTCTAAAAAGAATAATCTCTCCAAGATCACACAGCTAAGTTAGGAATGAAGCCAGTTATGAGGTAAGTGAGGCATTTGAAGTCACTAGGCAGTTAGGGACTGGACTATGAGGAGATAAATGTAAAGTGGAAATGCAGCTAACCCCTGTAGGCATGAGTAGGAACCAGTTCATCAGCCTCACCCTGTCCCATGTAAAAGTACAAGAACAAAGGGCCCTGATTATGAGGTGGACACACAGGGTGAGGAAAGTAAATGGGAACTTTGAAATTTAAAATCTGGCTGAATTTTTCAGACCAACCAATGGGAAGTTAGCAGGACACATTAACTCCTAGAACAGTGGTCCTCAACCTTTCTAGTGCCGCGACCCTTTAATATAATTCCTCATGTTGTGGTGACACCCAACTATAAAATTATTTTTGTTATTACTTTATAACTATAGTTTTGCTACTGTAATGAATAGGAATGTAAATATCTGTTATTTTTCCGATGGTCTTAGGCTCTACAGCAGCCGTTCTCAAACTTATGGGTCGAGACAGGTTGAGAACTCACAGGTTGAGAACAGCTAGCAGGGTCGCCTAAGAACATCGGGAAAACACAGATATTTACATTCCAATTCACAACAGTAGGAAAATTACAGTTACGAAGTAGCAACGAAAATAATTTTATGGCTGGGGGTCACACAATATGAGGAACTGTATTAAAAGGTCGCGGCATTAGAAAGGTTGAGGATCACTGTACCTAGACAAAGAAGCTTCCGTGGCAACTTGTTTGGGTTCCTTCCCTGCAACCAAGAGCTTTTCTGTAATAAAACTTTGCTTTTGCTCATCTCTTTGTCCATGAACTCATTCTGATTTCTCTAGACCCGTGGTCGGCAAATTACGGCTCACGAGCCACATGCGGCTCTTTGGCCTCTTGAATGTGGCTCTTTCACAAAATAACACGGCCTGGGCAAGTCTATTTTGAAGAAGTGGCGTTAGAAAAAGTTTAAATTTAAAAAATTTGTCTCAAAAGAAATTTCAATGTTATACTGTTGATATTTGGCTCTGTTGATTAATGAGTTTGCTGACCGCTGCTCTAGACAATGAACTCAGACCCGAGCAGAAAATTGTTATCACAAGTAGTCCCACTACACTGTCTAAGATTTCCCCAATAATATCAAAGATAAAAACTATTTTACTGAATCATGAAATTATTTTAATATTGTTTATCCAGGAAAATAAAGAATACTTCCATCAGAATAAACTATTTATAAGTAACATAATATGAACATACATAAACTAAAAAACATATCCCAGAACATTATTTCACTAAAGATGTTCTGGAGTTCACATTTCCACATTAAAAATACAATTCTAAAGATCACACTTACTAGCATGACTTTCAAAACCATACATTTAAACTAACCTGACTCTGAAGCATTGTTAAAGGTGTTTCTCCCTGTTCCATGGCATCAGGGTCACACAGCCAACTTTGTACAGGACGAGTTTGTTTCAAAAGAGAAAGGTATGCATGAAAAACATCTGCCTTTACATTTTCTTCACGCTCTTTAAATCTGGATATCAGTGCAGGAGAGACAGTCTTGTAGAATTCTGCAAGCATTTCATGCCTTGTGCTAACTACAGCATCCAAGCACTTAGCAGCTGCACGTCTCACTTTCCAGCTCATGTCATCATCATCACTGTATTCATCATCACTCCCTAAAGAGAAGTTTTAACATTAGGCTATTAATCATAGGAAAAGTTTATTGTTTAACACAGGAAGTAAGTTCATAATTAACATAGTTTTCTAACTTTTATTAACATATACAGAGATAAGTTTACAAAGAACTAGAACTTAAATAGTTAACTTTGATAAATTAACCTCTAAATAAAAATGACCACAATTGTGGTGGTGTTTTTTTTTTTTTGTTAACCCTCACCTGAGGATATTTTTCCATTGATTTGTTAGGGAGAGGGGAAGAGAGGTGGAAAGACAGAGAACTATCAATGTGAGAGAAACACATCAATTTGTTGCCTCCTACATGAGCTCTGATTAGGGCCTCGGCCAGGGGGAAACCTACAACCAAGGTACATACCCAGAACCCTTTAGTCCGCAAGCAGATGCTCTATCCACTGAGCCAAACCGGCTAAGGTCTCAATTGTGTTTTTAATTTGTTATTTTGTCATTATAGAAAGAAATGAGCTACTTATTAACCCTTTAAAATCACAATACATTAAACTTATTTAGAACAAAAATATTTGTAAAATCATATATGTCCCAATCTTTTAAACAATTTAAATTAAAGGTCAAAATCAGAGTTTATAAGATAACTAGTGACCTGGTGCACATTGAGAGGAAATTAATTAGAAGAAAAAAATGTAATATATTGTATTTGCCCTTTATAATAGAAGTGTCAGAGATGAAAAAAATAGTAAAACTTATATGAAAATAATGTATAAATTGATTAATAAACAATAACATAACCACCACCACCACAGGAGGTTGGCTGGCTGGAGAGGGATCGCAGGAGGGCTCCAGGGTGTGTTTGACCCATCTCTCCCAATCCCAATCTGCTGGACCCCAGCAGCAAGCTAACCTACCGGTCAGAGCATCTGCCCCCTGGTGGTCATTGCACATGACAGTGACCAGTTGAACAGCCGAACACTTAGCATATTAGGCTTTAATATATACAGATTCTTGATTTGTGGCTACAGATGATGTGATAAGAAAAATGGCTATCAATCCCAGGATATTCTGTAGAACTAATTTTCTGGGGATAAAGAGAATTTTGACATCAACTTTCTTTGCAACTATAAGACTTTTCACTAAATTTGTTAATGGGGGGATTATTAGGAACAAATATGCATATTCTCAACCTTTAAGATACTATCTTAAGGTAGTTTAAAGAAATTACACTGTATCAATTATAACATAGAAATTCTGTCCATATAACAACAGACCATCATCTTTTCCAAACTCCTATTAAGCTTTAAAACAATATTCTAACCATAAGCATTAATAATTTAATTAATTAATAATTAAAAAAAAACACTTTTTTTTGTGTGTGCAATCTCTGAAAGTTATTACCTTCTAACACCATCAGTTTGATGAATCATCTGGGTAACATGAAGTCATGAGGATAGTTAAATATTAACAGTTTTAAGGGCAGCCCAAAATTATCTAACAAGAATTTTGCTATTCTTAGATAAGACTAAAGGCCTGAAATGATTCCTCCTTGGGGGAAAAATATCATTTCTTCATTGACTTATTCCCCAATTAGCCAGTGAAAGGTGAATGTAGCCTTAGAAAATCCTAGGATATATAATAAAATTGTCCAATCTCTAAAAGTTTACTTAATTTCCTTTTAGCACATTATAGGAAACCCAACCAAATATTGTTAAACTCAAGGCATTTGATTTATTCACTAATACCTACTTGAAAAAAAATTACAAGATGCTATTAAAATAGACCATTTAAAAGCAAATAAATAAGTGAAGTTTTTCTCATGGCAACTCAACTATGGGAATTTTTATAATCTTTAAAAATAGGTTATAAAAATTCAAGCATCCTAATCACTGAAATTAAAATATGTAAACTGATAAAGCAGCTAAAGTTGGTTTATTTTTCAATGTTAAGTGCACTAAAAGCCAACAATCCAAACCTGGAACATATACTGCTATAGCTTCTTTCAAATGTTATTCTTATTAGAAGCTAAGATTTTCTTTCTTTCTTTCTTTTTAAATATATTTTATTGATTTTGTACAGAGAGGAAGGGAGAGAGATAGAGAGTTAGAAACATCGATGAGCGAGAGTCATCGATCAGCTGCCTCTTGCACACCCCCTACTGGGGATATGCCCGCAACCAAGGTACATGCCCTTGACCGGAATCGAACCCGGGACCTTTCAGTCCCCAAGCCGACGCTCTACCCATTGAGCCAAACCGGTTTCGGCTAGAAGCTAAGATTTTCCATCATTAATATAACATATATATTGAGTGCCTAATGTGTGTCAAGTATGGTCCTGGACATTAGGATAAAGCAATCAATAAGGAACTAAAATAAAAACTCTGCCTTTATGAAGCTGATATCCTGCTAGGTGGAAAATAATTACAAAATGTCAGAAAGTGATTAAGAGTATTTAAGAAAAGTGCTGAAAAGAGAGAATAAGAGTATAAAATAAGGGAAAAGGCCCTGACCAGTTTGGCTCAGTGGATAGAGCATCGGCCTGCAGATTCAAGGGTCCCCAGTTCGATTCCAGTCAAGGGCATGTACCTAGGTTGCAGGCACATCACCAGTAAGGGGTGTGCAGGACGAAGCTGATCGGTATTTCTCTCTCATCGATGTTTCTAATTCTCTATCCATCTCCCTTCCTCTCTGTAAAAAGTCAATAAAATATATTTTAAAAGATAAAATAAGGGAAAAGGCCTAAGATGGGGTGTAGAAGGGAGAGAAAAATAAGAAAAAGTAATCAGATACAATCCCAAAGTTTTTGTCTGAGAAACTAAAAAAGAATGGAGGTGCCATTCTGAGATGGAAAAGGCTAAAGAAACAGGTTAGGCAGGGGATAGAAGAAAGGTTGAGATAAGATATTTTAGAGATACCGTATTTTTCGGACCATAAGACGCACTTTTTCCCCCCCAGAAGTGGGGGGGAAAAGTCCCTGCGTCTTATGGTCCAAATATAGCCTACACATATACTTTAAAAAAAAAGTTTTTTTACTTGTCCGGCTCTGTGTGGTCTCTGTGTGCTTGCCCGGCTCTAAAATGGTTCTAAATGCTGCTGTTTACTTTACAGGGTTGATTACATGTGTTTATGACTGTGATGTTGGGTTTTAATGCACATAAAATATTTTAGGACACTATTTGTTTCAGAATCTTTTTTTCTTCATTTCCCTTCTCTAAAAACTGGTGCGTCTTATGGTCCGGAGCGTCTTATGGTCCGAAAAATACGGTATTTAAGCAGCAAACAAAACAGCTGTATACATGAACCTGGAATTCATAGATAGGTCTCAGATAAAGATAAAATTTGGATTTTCAGCTAGAAGACTAGACAAGATAAACAAAAACATCCTATTTAATAAAGAGGTAATATGCAAATTGATTGTCACTTCAACACACAATAAGGCCGCCCCCATGTGGACACAAGATGGCCACCACAGGATGGCCGGTAGCAGAGAGCAGCTGTGGGTGAACAGATCATCAGTGGAGGACAGCTGGTAGGGACCAGGCCTGCAAGGGAGGGCAGTTAGGGATGATTGGGCTGGGAGAGGAAGGCAGTTGGGGCAACCAGGCCTGCAGGGGAAGAGAATTTGGGGGGGTGGGGGGGACACATAGGCCTGCAGGGGAGATCAGTTTTGGGGACCAGGCCTGCAGGGGAAGACAGTTGGGAGGGACAAGGCCTGCAGGAGAGGGCAGGCATACAGGGGAGGGCAGTTGGGAGGGACAACGCCTGCAGAGGAGGGCAGTTGGGGAATTAGGCCTGCAGGGGATGGCAGTTTGGGGGGGGGGGGGAGAACCAGGCCTTCTAAGAGGGCAATTGGGGGCAGTCAGGCATACAGGAGAGAGATATGGGGGCAAACAGGTGGGCAGTTATGGGTGACCAGGCTAGCAAGGGAGGGGAGTTAAGGGTGACCAGGCCAACAGGGGAGAGCAGTTGGAGGTGACCAGGCCTGCAGGGGAGGGCAGTTGGGTTAGGGGATACCAGGCTGGCAATGGAGGGCAGTTGGGGGGGGGGGGGGAGAAGACCAGGCCGACAGGGGAGGGCAGTTGGGAGGGACAACGCCTGCAGAGGAGGGCAGTTGGGGAATCAGGCCTGCAGGGGAGAGCAGTTAGGGGAGACAAGTCAGGGGAGGGCAGTTAAGATGTGATGAGGCTGGCATGCAGAAGAAGTTAGGGTCAATCAGGCTGGCAAGCGGTGGGGAGCCAGCAGTCCTGGATTGTGAGAGGGGTCACAGATTGGAAAGGGTGCAAGATGGGCTGAGGGACACACACTCCCTCTCATCCCCACACATGAATTTCATGCACTGGGCCTCTAGTAAGAGTATAAGAGAGAAGGTTCAAGGACTGAGCCCCAGAATACTCTAAAGTTCAATAGTCAGGGTGATGAAGAGTACCAATATGGAGACTGATAGGACTAAGACCAGGAGAGTGTGGGTGGACTTCTGAATGTTAAATAAAGAAATGCTGCTGAGAGGAGAGGAAGATGGCTGCCGAGAGGAAGGCAGACTGCAAGATAGTGAGAAAATGAAAGAAAAGTGTATGGATGTACAGGGAGTGTATATTTATGGGTGAGGGTCAGCTATCCTCCAAGGGACTGTTGGGGACTGCCGGATTGAGTTCCCCTGACTGTGCAGCGTACACTGCTGCTGAAATCTCTCCCAGAGCGAGGGGCTCTACCAAGGAAACCACGCCATCTTGAAGGGAAGAGTGGCTGTTATCGAAACCTATACATCCTGCTATTCTATAAACAGAACACCCAGGGACCAGCTCTGAACCCAGGAACACTGGATCTTAGGCAGTAAGAATACAATGAATTGGAGAAGCTCTGCACCTTCTCAAGGAAAGTACATGTTACGGCTAGGGAAAGAAGAGAACTACATAACCAGACACCCAGAGAAGAGAAATCATGGGGAGACAAAGAAACAGCCTGCATATGAAAGAAAAGGAGGCATCACCAGAAAAGGAAGTAAACAAAATGGAAGCAACCTGTCAAGAGAAAGAATTCAGAGAAATGGTCATTTGGTGGCTGAATGGAAGATAAATTCAACAATATGTATAACAACAAAGAGGAAGTGAAGAACCAAGAAGAAATGATAAATGACATTGATGCTATAAAGAACTCAATAGAAAGCATCAAAAGTACACTAAAAGATGCCGAGGATCACATCAATGAGCTAGGAGAGAAGGTACGAAAAAATACAAAAGCATAGCAACATCTAGAAAAATAAAATAAAAAACAGAAGGAGAGCCTAAGGGAACTTTGGGACAACATGAAATGAAACAACATCTGCATAATATAGGTGCCAGAAGGAAAGGAAACTAAGCAAGGAATAGAAAACCTGTGTGGAGAAATAATGACAGAAAACTTGCCTGATATAGGGAAGAGAAAACACAAATCCAAGAAGCTCACAGAGTCCCAAAATGAATCCCAAAAGACCAACAACAAAGTAAGAATCTTAAAGGCGGCCAGAGAGACAGAAAGTTTCCTACAAAGGATCCCTCATCAGACTAGCGATTGATTTCTCAACTGAAACACATCAGGCCAAAAGGGAATGGTATGAAATATACAAAGTCATGCAAAGGAGGGGTCTGTATCCAAAAATACTGTACTCAGCAAGGCTATTAATAAAAATTGAGGGTGAAATCAGGAGCTTCACAGAAAAAAAAAAAAAAGAAAAGAAAAAAGAAAAAAAAAGGAATAAGGGAGTTTATTACCACCAAATGAACAATGCAAGAAAAGCTAAAGGGTCCGCTGTAAAAAGAAGAAATAGGAAGCAAAGGAGAAACACAGGTTTTCATATACATTTTACTAATTTTCTTTCCTCTGACACTTCTATTATAGAAAAAGGGCAAATAGCAATATTAAACTATTACCTCTAGTTAATTCTCTTTTAATGTGCACGAATTTCTCTTACGATTCTCTTAATACAAGCAAACAAGAAAACATTAACCACCCCTATGTCCTTAAATGCTACTCCTTTCCAGATTAAATAACATAAATTTTAAATAACATCACATAAATTTTAAGAGCCTCAGCAATGTTTAGATTATTCACCAATAATCTAAAATTAAATAGAGCCTCAAACAATACTTAGGATGTTTCATGAAAATGCTATGTATAAAACCAACCACACTACTCTGAATATGTATATCTATAGGTATAGCTATAAAAATAACATTCATTTCCCTCGGTACCAAAACGCTATGTAGAAAATTTGAAGAACAATAAAGGACAAAAATCTAATTGCTAGCCATGAGAAAAATGTTACATTTTTTCTGTATATTTTTAAAAAATTGTTTAAAAAATGAAAACAAAAACCCATAAGCCCAAAATGTCACTATTGATGTTAAAAGTCCATGATACCAAATCTAAATTTAATACCTAATCTAAAAGCAGCTTCAACCTGAAACATCAATCTTAAACAACTACTATGGAATATTCTGGTTAAACACCGGTAAGGTAATTTGTCACATAAGCCCTCTCCATCCTCCACAGAAAGAGGGAATCTGCATAAATGAAAACTCTTTCTCTAAGAAAAGAAGTCCAGGCCTGCAAATAATCCTTTCTTTTCTTCTGCTAATAACCTCCTTGCCCCATCCTTCTTCCTATTTTGTATAATACAACTCTCAGAGAGCCCTTCTAGTTGCTATATTCATAAATCCCTTAATTAAAGCCAATTAAATCTTCAAATTTACTGGGCTGAAGTTTGTTTTATAATAAAGTAAATCTGGAACACAGTAATTTTTGTTACCTACTTTTTATTCAACTTATTAACTGCTTTAGTAAATATTTTTCTACATGCCTCTAAAAATACTATAAACAGTTCAATACATGGTTTCCCCATAATTTACTTAATCAATTGCTATTGTTAAATACTGAGGTCATTTCCATTTTCATTATTATTCTATATAATAAAAGCCTAATATGCAAATCAACTGAACATGGACTGACCAGTGAAATGACAGGTAGCTATGACAAGCACTGACCACCAAAGGGCAGATGCTCAATGCAGGAGCTGCCCCAACCCACAGGCCCCAGGACAGCCAAGGTGGATACCAGCAGGGGCTTTCCCATCAGAGGGAGGTGACCAGCAGTGAGCTGGCGGTGGCAGGCCAGCCGAGGAGGGGGCTCCCCAATCACCCTGCCAATTGTCCCATAGATTGGCCTTGATCACCAGCCAGGCCTATGGACCTTAACTGTGCACGAATTTCATCACCAGGACTCTAGTAAATAATAAACAGTGAAATTTGGAATAAGAAATCAACTCCATCAAAATACTGGTTTTTCATTAAAATTTAACAAATTTCTTCTACTTAATTTGGAATACCTTGGTCATCTTCATCACCACCATCTGCATCCATGGCATTTTCATCTTCATCTTCATCATCATAATTATAATTCGGATCGTAGGTAAGATATTTAAGACAAATATTTATAATAGTAGAAACATGAGGATATACTTCCTTAGGACATCTGAAGAAAGAACAAATCTATCTTGAGTAACTACTTTTCTCCTTGATTCAATACTTGCCCTGTTTTGCTTTGTTACTAGACTTTTTCTTCCCCTTTAATATAACACAGGAAAGTGGATCCAAGACTTTTCAACACCAATGACCCTACATATTTTTCTTCCATTAGATTCATTTTTAAAAGATTTACTTTAGCCTTCACATTTTAACATCTCTTACGTTGGAATGACTTTTATTTTTTAAAATATATTTTCATTGATTTCAGAGGGGAAGAGAGAGGAAGAGAGAAACATCAATGATGAGAATCATTGATCATCTGCCTCCTGCACACGCCCCACTGGGGATAGAGCTCACAACCAAGGCATGTGCCTGACTAGGTATCTAAACATCACCTCCTGGTTCATAGGTTAATGCTCAACCACTGAGCCAGGCCAGAATGATTTTTATAGTAAATGGTATGCAGGGTTAATGTGGGGTAGAATAGAAAGAAATATGTATACACTAGTCCCTTCTTTATCCATAGATTTATGTTTCAAGACCACCTCAGTTTGTACTGCAGACAGTATTGAACCCTATATATGTGTGTAGTTTCTCTTTACATACCTATATACACTTTTATGGCTTCTCTCTGGCATATCAGAATTGCCAGCATTACTACTTCTTACATTTGGAGGCCATTAAATTCATCTGCTACATAACAACTTTTTAGTCAATAAAGTACCTCACGTATGTAATAAAAGTCTAATATGCAAACTGTCCCCTTGACAGGGAGTTCGACCAGGGGATTGGAATTGACTAGCCAACCGCCCCACAGTCCCACCCCCCAGCCATCCCGCCCTGGCTGGTGGCAGGCAGCCAAGGAAGGAAGGAAGGCCCTAGCCAGCAGCCAATAGGGACCCCACCTGTGCACGAATTTCATTTACTAGGCATCTAGTAAGATTATAATGAAGCTGAAAAACTATTGCTGCCTTAACACAATGCATTTCACAAAGACTTACCACTGTGTTACAACTGCTTATAGTATTCTGTAAACATGCTGTATATATTTATAGCCTAGGAGTTGTAATGGAACAGAATTTGTCACCCCAAATATGTCTTCTTGGCATAAAGGTTATATTAAGCTGATTAATTTTAAGAAACAATAGACATGAAAGAAGCTCTGAAGACCAAATATAAAATATCCCTTGTAAAAGACATTTACATTTATAAGGGAAATCTCTATTTGTAATGGTTTCTCCCTAGCTATACCAGGAAGAACGTATAGCCAGGGAGAAACTGCTATCAATGAAGGCGGCCAGAACTCAAATCTATAACAAACTTACTCTTCTTTATCTTGCTTTTCCTGGTAACATCTCCAAACTGACTGCCCTCACACCTAACATCCTCTTTACTCTTTAACTAAAGAAGGTATATCTAAAGGGTGGCTTCAGCCATTTTGATAAGTTATTCAGTTTTCATGGGTCTCTCCCATGTAGACATGAGATATACATATTAAGCTTTTTTTCTTGTTAATCTGTCTGATTACAATGAGTTTCAACTAAAAACCTCGAAGGGTAGAGAGAAAATTATTTTTCCTCCCCCACAAGAGCAATAGGCTAGATTCCACATGTTTATGGTAGGCCAGTGGTTGGCAAACTCATTAGTCAACAGAGCAGCAAACTGAGGCTCTCAAGCTGCATGTGGTTTTCGAGCCGCAGTTTGCCGACCACTGTGGTAGGCTATACCATCTAAGTTTGTGTAAGTGCACTCTGATGTTTGCACAAGGAGGAAATTATCTAAGAAGAAATATTTCAAAATATATCCCTGTCATTAAGCAGCAGATGACTGTATTTTTTTTAAAAAAAAAAAGCACATGCAGCAGATCTGATAACAGAAACAGCTATTAATTAAAGGTCTGATAGCATATACAGCATGGATATGCTGGACAAAGGGATGATTCGCATACCCACAGGATGATGCAAGATTTCATTAGGCTCCTCAAAACAGGGTGCAATTTAAAATTTATGACATTTTTATTTTTGGAATTTTCTATTTAATAATTTTGAACCTGTTGATAGTGGGTAACTGAAAGGAGAAACCATGAATAAAGGGGGAATACTATATGCTGTTTATTTTTAACATATAATTAGAGAATTAAGCCCTTATGAACTTTCTCTCTTTAGCAATTAGGATTATTTATGAAAATGTCAGTGTACATTCATCTAGGTTTGGTTATCTAGCTGTATGTTAAGAAGAGCATATATAAATGCCTCAAAATAAAGGAATAATTTGTTTCTCAATTAAAAGGACAAAATTCCCACAATTTCTGATTTTAATAATTTGATATGACTATAAAGCTACTTAAACCATTGAGTTGCACCAAGGGACTGCTGCATTGTTTCAAGACACGGTACTGTTAAGACACTGTACTTGCTACTACACTGTCAATTCTATGCAAATAGAGGAAAACTCTGTTACATGGCCCCTTTTAGTACATGATTGCATTTTGTTTTTGAATCAACGTTACACAGCCCTAGCAAAATGTATGTGACAGGCCTAAAAAACTGTTGAAAAGAAATTCATTACACATTTATACATTTCTGGCCTGACTCCAGGCTGTCAGTAAAATAACCCATTTTTCCTCACCTACTTAATCTAGCTCTTACTAAAGAAAAATTTTTATTTGAAAAATAGAGATCTTAGTAACTTACCTTCTCACAAATGATTCAAAGGCTTGAATGCAGTACTCTCTTAACTCATCATCATCTACATTACAAAATTTTACCACCAAAGGAATTATCTTCTCAAGGTATTCACCTAAGAAAAGCATATTAGTACTTAAATACATTCACTAATACTTCTTTAAATTAAAGAAAACTTGAAAATATTTCAACATTACTTACCTATTCTATGACCAGCTTGCCTACTAATAGCAGCAATACATTGTATGTAGGTTCTTGTTGTTGACATAGAATCATTTTTGGACAACTCTGACAAAAGATGTTCGATAAGATCTACAAAAACTATATTTCCACAGCTCATAACTAGATGGCCAAGAGCAATAATGGTTCTTTTCCTCACGGCAAGTCTAGGGCTGGTCAACTGGGGAAGTAGACAGGTCAGAATTGAAGGATGAAAATTAACAAGAAGTCCTCCTTGCCTTAAAAGAAAAAAAAAACAACAACAACAACAACAAATAAATTCAAAATGTTTGAACATTACTGAAATATCTGGCCCCTGAACCCAATGTATTCAAAGAGTAAAAACGTACATGATATAATCCAAAATCAGAATGAAAGGACAACTAAATTCTTACTATTTCTACCAACCCAATTAAAAAATTTGAGCTAAGTGAATGTAGTTTTGAAATCTGTATCCCTAAATTACCACCTTCTGAAATCTAGACCTATGTTATCCAACTAACAGACTTGGGAGTACATTAAAAATTAAAAACATAATATGATTTTATAATTTTCCCTTTCTCAGATCTATAAAATAATGTTCTCTATTGATAGCTTTTTCTTCTCTATTACAGCTCTTTCAGGGTTCACAACTCAAAGTATCTCTTGACCCCTCTTTCCACTGTCTTTCTTCTACACATCTGTATACTAAATTTCACTTATCCTGTTGGTCCAACCCTTTCTTCCAAATCATTTCACATGTGTGATTCAATAAGTCAATAGCAATCAAATATCTATGTGCCAAAACAATCCTAGTAAATCAAAGCACCCAGAAGACAAAAAAGTCTAACTAAACTTCTAATACTTTCATTTTAAACCCTAAAACACACTATATTTGCAATTAGTATTTAGTTTTATTCTGCCTTATATTATATCCATTTGCATTCTAATCCTCTATTGTAGATCATAAATAAACTCTCTGTGCCAGGATGGTACCTCTTCAATATGTGCCACATGAAGTCACTTGATTATTTATTTTCAAGTTGAAGTGCATTAGCCACAACTAACACAATGATGACATAGAATAATTATGAAAATCAAGAGTAAATTGAAATTGACAGGTCTTTTAAGGTATTTTCCCTTGTGAGCTGTTTAGATCTTTGTATCTTCCCAAATTTGTCTTCCAGAGGAAAGGAGAAAATCAACTAATGTATAAAGACAAGTTCCTTCCTCCTCAAAAACATGCAGTATAAATTTGGGTTATTGAAGTTTATAAACATTAACTGAAAAATATGCCATGCCTATACATCTTATCTCAGTTGATCATTGTATTCATGAATGTAAGAGTAATATAAAAGATAAAAAATTTGCTGAAATATTTAAATCACCAATTTATTTCTCCGATTCCTAACCACCCACACGTATTTATAAAACAGCTACAATTTAAACATGAATAAGTATTTATAAAACAGCTACAATTTAAACATGAATAAGTATTTATAAAACAGCTACAATTTAAACATGAATAAGTATTTATAAAACAGCTACAATTTAAACATGAATAAGTCTAGACCAAGTTCTATTATACTTATCAAAAGAGATTTTTAATAAATGCACATATTTTTATTACAACTAATACAAATTATAGGCACGTTTACCTGCTCAACATATCAGCCATAATATCTAAAGCTTCTAGCTGAACAGAGACATCTTCCTGCTTTGCTATCGCACTGGTAAGACGTCCAGTAATCTTTTTACATACATTAGCAGCTAATGCAGAGCCTGCATGAATAAGAAACCAATAATAATTTCAAGGCAAGTATTTTAAATTCCACCTTATAGTCATGGAAATTGCCAAATATTGGACAACTTTAAAATTGATTATGAGACTGAGTCAAGAGATCCGTGTCAAAAATTATGTATTTCAAAATAGGCTGTTTCTCAAAATAGACATTCACAAAATGCAGAAGGAGTACATGACCCAGGGAAATTCAGATAGGCACTACTGGACATCAATTTCTACGCATTGGCATGAATGCCAACTACGGAGTCAATAATAGCTCTAGGTGATTAGAAAGCAGCAATGAGATTTTTCTCTATTGAAGTCTTCTTTACCAGTAACCTACACTTCTAAATTTTAGTGAATTTTAAAAACTAATGATCAAACACAAACCAAAACCAACATGGTTTAAAAAGAGAGATAACTGTAATCACTAAATCAAGGTTACTATTTTAAAGTAGATTTGAGTTTTTAAAAAGTGAGAGAAAATTTTTTGCAAGAAAGAATATGAACGGTTAACAAGAAATCAGCTAAAAACAAACATGTTTCAATGAAAAAAAAAATAAGGAAAATATCAATATAGCTAATACAATTATATATAACATACTTGAGTTGGTGAAATAATTGCAGTTTTAAGGTTTTTATTTATTTTTAAATTTATTTTATGTTTTTATTGATTTCAGAGAGGAAAGGAGAGGGAGAGAAACATTCAATGATGAGAATCATTGATTGGCTGCCTCCTGAATGCCCCCTACTGGAGATAAAGCCAATAACCCAGGCATGCGCCCTGGACCAGAATCGAACCGGGGACCCTTCAGTCTACAGGCTGACACTCTATCTACTGAGCCAAACCAGCAAGGGCAAGTTATAAGGTTTTTAAAATTACCAAGTAATTATAAGAGATTCATTCTTACCTAAAGATACTAATAAAATGAACTATTTCAAGCTGTCTTAATAGTGTTAATGATTTTATATAATAAATTTTAAAGCAAAGCAAAATTAATACTGAAAATAAAGAGCTAATCAGAAATAACTCATGATTTTGATTATCTATTGCCTCATTGCATGAGATGACAATTATTCTATAGTCATGATACATACAACAATATTAAATCTTGCTCCAACATAAGAATCATTCAGATACTTAAATTCCTATGAGATACTTAAATCTAATAAAATAACTTATTTAAAAGTGATTTTTAATAAAAAATAAGACTCTGGTATTTTTTTCTTAGTTGTTCAAAGGGATGATTACCAAAGATCTTTTAGGATGGACACTTCTCTCCCTCCCTGACCAGGAAGGGGGAGAAGAAGAGAGGGGAGAGAGAAGAGAAATATATTTCCCTTCAAAGGGAAATAGGAAAAAAAAAAAAAAGTGACCTTGCTTACTTACCACTGGAAGCTGGCGGAAGTTCTCCAATTACTGTTTTAAGGCCAATACTTGAAATATCTCGAAGTTGTTCTTTATCAGAAAGCATGTTAGTGCAGAGAGTATCTACAATTGTCTCTACTTGGTATTCTTTCACTTTACTCACTAAAGGACCAAGGCTGTAATATAAAGAAAACCAAAAATTTTAATCTAGATAAATACAAAAACAGAAAAATAAATAGAAACATTAACATTCCTGCCTAGCACCTGACAACACAAAGTAAACACACTATGCTGAAATGGTAAGTAGTATACAAATAAGGGCATAAAAGAAATTCTTGATTCATAAACTCCTTGCAGTTAGTTTCCAATGCCCCCTCCCCACTGATTTCCATTATAGTATAATGAAACGTAAGATAGTACTGCTTTCTTCTCCCAAAGCATTTTATGGTATATGCTTTTCAAATTAGGATTTTATACTATTATAGGTTTGCATGGAGGTCCACTGGTTGAGGTCATAGCTTTGTGTCCTTCCCAAAGAATTTAGCACACAAAATAGGTAATGTTGAGTGCATGACTACTCACTGAGGAGGAGCCATTATATTCAGCATTGTAATAAATAGTATAACCTCTATCACCAAAAATATACTGTCTGGTTGGTGAGGTGAGGAATTAACATGTCTACATTAGAAATTAACTGAAGGCATTCACTAGGCTACACAATGTTAGTAAAAACAAACAAACTTTTAAATTCAATGTTAGTATTTACAGGAGATTGTACCTAAAGAGTTTTTTAGTTATTGGACTTTAAGACTACAATAAGTACATATTTAAAAAGAAATGAGAGAAAAAAAGGCAGATGAAAAACATAATAAAGAACTTAGGCCCCTGAGACATTATGGAGAACCTTTAATATCAGGCCAATTAATTTAAATGTACTGTAGTAAAACTGGGAAACAATGATTTTTCTCAAACATAAATGCAGAATGAAAAAATTTGATAAATACTCTGCTATTTCACATACATATGCTTAATTAATAAATACTGCTTGCCTAGGGAAGTAGTAAAGAGAAATCTGGGAATTAAGAAAAGGAAGAAAAATAAACAAAAATGTTAAATCCAAGAACAGCCCAATCCAAAATGATGGCAGTGAAAACAAAGACAGCATATATGGAGAACTAATGTGAAACAATGAAAATTGGGAGTGAAAATAAAAGAATTAAAAAATGAATTTAAAGAGTTTTAACTTGCATTAATCACAAACCAGCTTTTTTGGACTAACTTTACTGCAGGTAATAAATGTATAACCTCTAAAACTATTATTTTAGAAAACAATTTAAATGCCAGCTACTGATGGAACTAAACCAGAGAAAAACTATCTGGATTCCATATCCAGTAAAATTACCCTTTAAAAATGAAGATAAGTTAAGTCAATTTCAGTTAAAAACTGAGAAACTATCACCACCAGAACTATACTTAGCTCTCTAGGCCAGTGGTCAGCAAACTCATTAGTCAACAGAGCGGCAAACCACCGAGGTTTGCCAACCACTGCTCTAGGCTAAAGGAAAATTCAACCAGATGATTAACTTGGATTTACAGAAAGGAATAAAGAAAGATCACTAGAAATGGTAAATGTGTGTGTGGCTATATTTTTAAAATTATATATCGATATATTACAATAGCACAAAGACAGGAGAAAGAAGAACGTTATTGCAAGGCTTTTATAATTTATATCTTGTGGTACAATACTAACTTTATTAATAGACTAGAGGCCCAGTGCATGAAAATTCATACACTGGAGGGGGGGGTATCCCTCAGCCCAGCCTGCCCCTTCACACAGTCCGGGAGCCCTCAGGGGTGGGAGGCGACCTGGTGATCAGGGAAAGGTGATGCCCCCATCACACCTCTGCTGCTGCCACTGCCTGCAATCCTCGGCTGGCCCTGGTTACCTGAGGCTCAGGTGGCCCTGGGCAGCTGATGAGACTGGGCACCTCCATTTTTGTCAGGGCATGATGGTCAATTAGCATATTCCCTCTTTAGTAGATATAATTGTAATAAACTTAAGATGAAATTTTTAATCCCTAGCCTAGAGTAAATATCAAAAATAGTAATGCAAATAGCTTTCGAAAAAGTCAACACAGAAAATCAAAATTAAGTATTATAATACAGTGATTCCCAACTTTTTGGTTTCATAAACCCTTATAACACTTCCAAAATCAACAAAGACCCCAAGAACTTTTCTTTACATGGGCTGTATCTGTCAATATTTACCATATAGAAATTTAAAAGTGACAATAAATTAACATAAATATTTTTAAAAACATGTTTTCATTGATTTTTTAAAGAGACAGAGGATAGAGAGAAATGTCATTGATTGGCTGCCTCCTGCATGGGGAACATTAATAACATATACATTTATTTTTGTTCTTGTTATTACTCATCTGAGCATATTTTTCCATTGTTTTTGAGAGAGAAGGGAAAAAGAGACAAACATTGATGTGAAAGAGACACATCAATTACCTGTCTTCGCACATGTCCCAACCAGGGTCAGGGATCTAGCCTGCAGCCGAAGTACATGCCTTGCCCAGAATTGAACCCAGGACTCTTCAGTCCACGGGTCAACGCTCTATCCACTGAGCCAAACCAGGTAGGGCACATAAATAACATTTTTAAGACAAAATAATTATATTCTCCAAAAAATAAGTGTGAAAATTTTACATTTTTACAAATTAAAACAATTTAATTTGTATTGGATTCAACCTGTTGTAATATCACATATCATGTGGCCTCTGACAAGTTATATTGAGCACTTATGAGAAAAGGAAATCAAAGGGAGAGTAACACCCTAGTATTACTATTGTAATATAGGAGTTTTTCTACTTTCAGAGTCTCAGATGTCCCAGGAGCACCCAAATCAAACTTTGTAGCTTCCCCCCTAGCTCCCCCCCCCCCCCCCCCCCCCCGACATACACAGCTTGCTGCCCTGCTCCATCCTGCTGCTGATCTGTGATCCAGGGGTTACGAGGTTGGTCGCTACCCTTCACGGCATAATAACCATTTGCATTTACATCTTTATTATATAGGACTGACAATAAATGTCAATGGACTAACTATCTGAAGTCTACAAAATACAGAACTTAAAAATAAAGAAGATTAAAAGGAAATATAGAGAAATATACTACACAAATACTAATTTTTAAAAAGTTAAGATATTTTAATGTAAGAGAAGATGTATTTCAAGATATGGTATATTTAAAAAGAAACATTTTATATTCATAAAAGTCAAATAGCAAAAAAGGTATCATTGTAAATGTGTATATACCCAGTCATTGAGCTTTAAAATACAAGAAAAAAACAACATTTAAGAGAAAAACACGAGATAAATTGACCACCATAGCTGAAATCTTAATATCCCTCTTTCAGTATTTAATATCAACAAAAGAAAAAAATCACTAAGGATATAAATCTGAATACTGTCATATACTTGACATAACTGACATTTCTAAAATAATATACTCAACTTACAGAACACACTTTCATTTCAGTGTACATGTAACATTCACCAAGATCTACTACCATAGCCGAAACATAAAACAAATCTCGGTAAATAGACAACACAACAACAAAAAAACAAAACAAAACAAAAAAAAGAAACAAGCAAAATGACCCTAAATCTTAAAGAGTGTGTGGTCTTCAGACTATAATGCAATTAAATTAGAAACCAGTAAAAATAAAAACAACATATACATAACCTCCAAACATATGAAAATTGCTTCTAAATAATCAATGGATCAAAGGGGAAAAAAATCAGGATGGAAATTAAAAATATTTCAAACATCAAAATTTATAGGATATAGCTCAAGAAGTACTTAAGAGAAAAATATAAATGTTTAAGAATTAGAAAGGAATAAGAAATCAACAAAATAGACAATAACAGAGAAAATTAACAAGCCTTAAAAATCAGTTATTTGATAAAAGTAGTAAAGTTTGTAAATCCCTAGAGGAATGGAAGGGGAAAACACAAATTACCAAAATCAGGATTAAAAGAGGATAGTCACTGATGACAATTATTTAGGTAGAAAATCCTGAGGAATCAACAAAAAAATTCAAGATACTGCAATTCATGATTAAAAGCCTCATTCATTTAAAAAAATATATATATATTTTATTGATTTTTCAAAGTGAGGAAGAGAGAGGGATGGATAGAGAGTTAGAAACATAAATGAGAGAATCATCGATCAGCTGCCTCTTGCACACCCCCCATTGGGGATGTGCCCGCAACCAAGGCACATGCCCTTGACCGGAATCGAACCTCGGACCATTCAGTCCGCAGGCTGACGCTCCATCCACTGAGCCAAACCAGTTTCGGCAAAAGCCTCATTCTTGTTAAAATATTCTCTTCAAATATTTATATAGCTTCAACAAAGTCCCACTCAAAATCTAAGTTACCTTACTTATTTTTTAAAAAAGAAATTGACAAATTGATTCTATAATTTAGATGAAAATGTAAGAACCTGAAATTGGAGAAGAGTAAAACTAGAAAATTCACACTACCTTACTTTAGACTTTTACAGATGTATCCCAGCATTTCACAACCAAGGTTGATTTTCACCCTTTGGTAGACATCTGATTGTCACTAACTATTGAGGGGAAGAAGGAATGCTATTGGCAAATAGTGGGTAAAGGACAAAGTACTGCTAAACATCCTACAATACACAGAATAACTCCTCACAACAAAGAATTATCTGGCCCCCAAAAATCTATAGTGACAAGAATGAAAAAGCCTGACTACATTAATAAAACAGTGTTGTACTGGTGTTAGAACAGACCAACAGAATAGTCTAGAAATAGACCCACAACTTCATAGTTAACTGATTTCTGACAAAGATGCCAATGCAATTTAGCAGGGAGCAAAGGTGTTTTCAGTAAATGGCACTTCAACAACTGGATATCTTTATGGGGAGAGAATGAACTCATTTCCTACTTCATAACAATTAATTCAGTGGCTCAGTTGTCTGGGTGTCATCCTGTGCACTTAAGAGTTGCCAGTTCAATTCTGCTCAGGACACATTCCTCAGTTGGGGCTCAATCCCCACTAAGGGGTGGGTGTGCAGGAGGTAGCTAATCGATATTCCATTTTCACATCAATGTTTCTCTCTTCCTCTCCATTGTTCTCTCTTTAAAAATCAGAAAAACATTTTAAAAAATTACTTCAATATATAATAGATCATAGAAGTAATTTATAAAAAATTATTTCAAGATAAAAGCTGGAACTATAAGGCTTTTAGAAGAAAATATAGGAGAAAATCTTTGTAACTTAACATAAATAAAGATTTCTCAGGGAACAGTAAGTAATAACCATAAAAGAAAAATTAAAAGTAATTTTTAAATTAAACTAAATTCAAATCTAAAATTAACAACTTAAGCTCATCAAACTGGGAGAAAATATTTACAAAACATGTAAGTGCCAAAGGATTTATATTCAGAATTTATTAAGAATTCCTACAATTTGATAAGAGATAAACTCAATTTTAAAACTTGGTTCTTCAATTAAGAGTGAGGTTGAACTTTTTATGTTTATTGGCCAACTGCATTTCTTCAGTGAATTATCTTTTCATGCTTTGCTCATTTTTATACTGGGTTGCTTTATCTTGTTGAACATATTGTGATAAAGTGATGATCACTGGTATTCATAATTGATAAAAATGCGTTTTTATATGGGAAAAAAATAAAAAATAAAAAAAATCGGGGGAGGGGGAAGAGTCAGCAAAAGATAAACAAACGGCCATAAACACAAAATAGCACTGAATATAATCATTTGTTAGGCAAATATAAACTAAAACTATACCTGCATACCCATGGGATTGGCTAAAATTAAAGAGTGACACAACCAAGTGTTGGTGAGAATGTGATACAACTAGTACTTTCATGTAAAATGGTACAAATATTTTAAGAAACAATTTAGCAGGCTCTTTAAAAAATCAAAATGAACAATAGCAATTTCATACTTAGTATTTATCCATAAGAAATAAAGATGGGAACTAAGTTAAAAAGGACTCATATAAGAATGTTTATTTTATCTTTATTCACAATAACCAAAACCCTAGAAAGAAACCAAATGCTTAACAGAATGTGGTATTATGGACTATTAATCAGTAATAAGCTCATGAAACAACAATACATCCAACATAGATAACTCGCACAGATTATGTGAGAGTGAAAAAAGCCAGACACAAACCTACACATACTGTATGACTCTATTTAAATTAAGTTCTACAACAGGTAAAACTAATTTAAGGTGAACAAAACAATGGTGACCTCAAGTAGGGATGTTATGTGAAGTAAAAGTACAATTTTATCTTTTTCAAATGTTTAGTCTTCTGAAAAAAAGATCTAACTTTTCACCAATGATGCCTACCACCTTCATCATGTACTTCCCACTCTATTTTACTTCATTGTTCTATTAATGCCTCACTACTTCACTGCTTTGATTAGAGAAACATAATATGTTTTCCTTTCAAATAAGGCTAATCAACACCCCCACTCCAACCCCACTACTTGTAATACTTTTATAGGGTTTTCTTGGCTATCTTGAGCAAACACCCTGCCCTCTTCTCCTTCTCACCAAAATTTACTTAAGAATCAACTTGTCTATCTTGTGGGGGGAAAGCACTGATTTTTATAATTAGGAAGCATTAAATTAATCTGGAGAAATTGAGTTATCCTGATCCAAGAACATGGAATGTCTTTCCATTTGTTACAAGTAATTTTTGTTATGTACATTAAAAGTATTGTATTTTAAAGTTTTCCTTGATATAAATCTTGAAAAAAATATTGTTGTTTCTCTTATACAATAGCCTCATTCAAGGTCACCATCCTATGTAATAAGAATAATATGTAAATTAGCCATCACTCTGTAACAAAATGGCTGCGCCTATAGCAGACACTGGTGGCATCGCCCTGGCAACGGGAGCCCAGCATTTGCTCCTTGGCTGTGAGGGAAGGGAGGGGTCTCTGGCCAGAAGACTGGGAGCGTGAGCTCAGCATCCGAACCACAGCTATGCTGCAGGAGAGACGGGGCTGTGGGGCCACGAGCCCAGAGTCCCCTAGGCAGGGGAGGAACCAGAAAAATGGATCTTTCCAGTTCCTGATGCTGACAGAGCCCTATGGGTGCCAGGGTCCTCCATCTGCAGCCCCCAGTTGCAGCCCAGCAGCCGCAGTAGCAGATTGGAAACCCCCTGCCAGCAGTCCTGACAGGACCAGCGTGGCACCTCGGGGAAGGAGGGGTGTCCGGCGGGCACACTACAGACATCAAATCACTGCCACCGAGGTCCACCCCCAACTCGCAAGTAGTATGGTTCAAGGGGGCGACTCCTGAGGCAAGGCTCCCATGGCAGCTAATGCTCACCATGCCAGGTGAGGAAGCCAGACTTGAAAGCCCCAGTCCCTAAGTACCTGAGCTGCAGAGCGTCGTGGGCCAGAGCCCTGAGGAGGTCCCAGGACAAGCATCTTCCCAGGGGCTTTCTAGGAAGGAAGCTCTGGCTAGAGGCAGGGTGAGGAATGCTGGTGTCTTTGCAGGCCAAAACCAGGCTGAGGGGTCCCCTTCCCCCAACCCTATTGCTCGAATTTCCTGCACTGGGCCCTCTAGTTGTAACATATCTTGTTACATTTATTCTGAGACATTTTGTCTTTCTATTGCTGTAATAAATGGATATTTGTTTCCATATCTTCCAACTGTCTATATGAAAATTACTGATTTTCATTAATTTTACATTCTGTTACTTCACAGAATTCTCATTATTTACATTAATATTTTTTCTATATTAACTTAATTTTTCACATGTATCTTGTCTTACAGTGGCTAATATCTTCAAAAGAAATGTAGCTGAGACAGAGACACATTTTTGCCTTGTACTTGACTTTTGTGTGGAGGTATCTGGTAATTTATTGGTATTTGTGTTGAGGTGTGACTGTGAACTTTTAATGTTAAAAAGGTCCTATCAAATTCATATATTAAATGTTTTACTTCAAATTGGTGATGAATTCTCTCGAGATAAAGCATCCCTGACCTGTTTTTCCCCCCTAATGACACATTAAATATGATGCTAGTCTTTGGAAGGTGCTTCACTCCTCTAATTATCCAAAGTAACATAAGTGTTATGTTTGTGTGTGTGTGTTTTTCTAAATCAAAATCAAGGTAGAATCTCACAGTACCTTGACAATTAAGAAGGCAGTGTTTTTCCTTCATCTGATCGATTAACCTGAAACAAATGTGTTAATAAAGCACATAATTTTGAACTGCACTATATTCTTGCAGTGAACCTCATTTGATCATGGTATGTTACACTTAATATACTAATTTTATTCTGAACATTTAAATGAAACTGGTCTGTAGTTTTCTTTTTTAGTGTTATCTTTATTTCGTCAAACTTGTTACCAGTATTTAGCTAAAATAAAAGACTGGATGGTTCCTATACTTTATGTTCGGGAATAGTACTAGAACTATGTGTACTGGAATTAGATACTTTTTGAGGTTTCAAAGAGTATGTGAAAGACTTCAGGATTTGACTATCCTTTGGATGATAAGTTCTTTGACAATTTTTCCCATTTCTTGATCGGACTACTTTAGTAATTTATGTATCTATTGGGGTTTTCCCTCTTCCAAGAAGCGGATCTTGAGTCTTATCTAATTTATTACCTTTTTTATCTTAATTCTTGTATTTTTTTAATATGTTAAGTTCTTCCCCAACCTACTAATTTTAAGTATAAAAGATGACAAAAAATCAAAAGCCTCAGATTCCTGAGTTAAGCATACTCAAGTGATAAAAGACCTACATACCTCACGACTCTCAATAAAGACTACTTTTTCTTATTGTATTTAAAGGGTTGAAAATGTTCAGCATATATTTTGAACAAATCTTTATTAAGCACATGGCAAAAAAATTTAAAAGATGAAAATGTCCCAAGTTGAAGAAACATAAATAAAAGTTGTACTGCGTGTCTAGGAATTCTATATTGATGAGTCTCATGTTGTTGCCTACTCTTACAGCAAGTATGTAAAGGCTTAGCTCAAAACAAAATAAAAACCTTTATAAGGAATCCAATAAAGGAATAGTAATGAGATAACACTTCATTTAAATTATCAAATATTATATATCAGAAAAATGACATGGAATTCCATTAATTTAATTTTTATATGAAACTACAGGTTATACTTACTAATATCTTACTATGTAAATTAAGGATTCCTAACATTTGGTATGTATAAATTAAACAGATGTATTAACAGAGTAAGTCCAACTTTCAAGTTTTCTTCTTAATATCATGTCTAATGTGATGCTTCTACTGTACTGTACACACAAAGACAACTGGAATTCTCACAATTTTTAAGAAATGTTCTTTGCAACCTGGTCAGTGTGGCTCAGTGGTTGAGCATCAACCTATAAACCAGGAGATTCCTAGTCAGGGCACATGCCCAGGTTGCAGGCTCAATCCCCAGTGGGGGGTGTGCAGGAAGTGGCCAATCAATGATTCTCTTTCCTCATTGATGTTTCTCTATCTCCCTATTCCGTCCTCTCTGAAATCAGTATTTTTTAAAACAGGTTCTTTGTAATTATTTTATCATCAGTGTTGATTTATGTTAATGATGTTATTTTAACTGCTGCTATTCTTTAAGTCTTATTTATATCTGTACTTTCCTTGAACACAGGAATATAGAGATGGATAGAGGCAGATCGGCCTTTTAATAAAGCTAAAAAAAACCTGGTCAAACAAGTGAGAGAACTACTCTTCCTAGAGTTTCCTATATGTACTTTTTAAGAAGTAAAATACCATAAAAGGCTACATTTAGTCAATACAGAAACTATAAGAAAATGTAGTGTATACTAAGTATAAATACTACACATTCACTAGTCACCTAATCCAGAAAGACATAATACAAGACTAAGATAATTTACCAATTATTACAGTATTTTAAATGTAGTAGAGAGCATAGTAAGCAAGTAAAAAAACAACTTACCATTTAACAGCTAAATTCTGTACCTCTCCATTTTTATCTTCCAGTAACTTCAAAATCATTTTCACTACTTTCCTTTCACTATCATCATCCAACTTGATAGAATCTTTCTGCAGTTCTGTCATCAAATCATTTGTAGCCATAAACCTACCAAAAAATTAAAATTTGTTAATTTCAATAAGGCTTGACGGAGGACCTCAGGCCATGCCCACCACCCAGCAAGGCTTGAAGAGGGACCTCAAAGTGCACCCCCAGTGCTGGGTTGGGAGAACTCAGGCTGTGCCCCTGCCCAGTGGGGCTTGACGGGGGACCTGAGACTTCACCCCCACCAACACCAGGCTGGGGGACCTGAGTCTGTGCCCCCCGCCCACCTGGAAGGGCTTGATGGGGGTGGGGCCGGCCAGGTCTGGGTCTCACCCAATGGGGGTGGAGCCAGCTGGGTCTGGGTCTCCTGGGTTTTCAAAGTTCATGCAGGTGGTGGGCAGATACTTAACTCTAGGTCCTGCAGCACGCCCCAGAATCTGACAGGAGGGAGATTTTCTTATACATTTTACTAATTTTCTTTCAACTCTAACACTTTTATTATAGAGAAAGGGCAAATAGCAATATTAAATTATTTCTTCTAATCCCCTTTTAATATGCAAGAATTTCATGCACCTGGCCACTAGTTTAAAAATAAAAGGCACTATGGACCTGTTGCTAACAACCAACACTCTGCTTCCCCCAAATGGGACACAGGCCTCAGCACCACCCCAGAGCAACAACCCCACCAAATTGCAGCCAAAACTACCAAGACCCCATGGCACAAAATGCAGCCTACAGCCCAGCCTGGCCCGGAACCGGTCACTATGGGCATCAGGTAATGACATCACATAATAATCCTGGCTTCCTTCCCTAGCACCTAGCCTCCTTGGAGTTTCTTTAGCCCAGGAACCTGACTTGCGTTATAGCCAGGTGCAAACATTTTACAGTTTAAATCACATGTGTCAAACACAAGGCCCGCGGGCCAAATCCGTCCCGCCAGGCCTTGCAATGTGGCCCGCACCGCGCTGTCATCACTGCACTCCGCTGCGTTTCCATCACAATGACAGTTTATGACTGTTCAGTAAACCATTCGGCCCGCGATTTAGGCTGGATTTTAGATTTTGGCCCCTTCTCTGATTGAGTTCGACACCCCTAGTTTAAATGTTTGTGAAGCGTTTTCCCATGCCTCATCTCCTCTGATACTCACAGAAGTCCTCGAGTAGGTAGATAGGAGACTGGGCAGAATTCTATTATCTTTTCATTAGCAAGACACGATTAGTGGCATTAAAGTAATTTTTCTTTCAATGTGCACGAATCTGTGCATTGGGACACTAGTATTCTAATAAAGAAATCTACTGATTAAAAAAAAAATGAACAAACTAGTAATGGTTAACTTTAAAAAAAAAAGAGTTAGAATGAGCCTAATAGGCTTGGCTCAGTGGGTAGACGGTAGAGTGTTGGCCTGCGTACTGAAAGATCCCAGGTCGAGGGCATGTACCTTGATTGTGGGCACATCCTCAGTAGGTATGCAGGAGGCAACTGATCAATGTTTCTCTCTCATCGATGTTTCTAACTCTCTATCCCTCTCTCTTCCTCTCTGTAAAAAAAAAAAAAAAAAAAAAAAAAAAAAATCAATAAAATATTTTTAAAAAATTAGAATGAGCACCAGCAAAATTAGCAGTAGTTAATATTTTTAAAAATCAGAAAAATTGTATATAGTATGAGGTTACAATAAGAGTTACCCCTGAATATTTCTTCCTTATGTTAATTTAATATAAGAAATTGCATTAAAAATCTTAAAGGAAACTGACCATTTTTAATATTCTCTATGACAGATTCAAAAGCTAATTGGTAAAATGTCTCTTGAGCATTTGCTCTTTTAGGCATGAAACTAATGGTTTGGATAATAAACATAAGACTCAGCCTCTTTCTCTTAACTTCTTCACCTACTAATGGGCAGACCAGTAAAGACAAATTTCAATCTTATAAATTTTTAAAAGCAATACTTAAAGGCATTTGGTAAAAAACTGATGTTTAGTTTGGGTTTCAAAAGATTAATGGGGGTTTGCATTGGGAAAGGTGGTTTGGAATTTAAAATTTTTATCTTTGTGTGGGTGGTAAAGGTGGCAGTGCTGAATAAGTACCTCAGTGTAAAGCACTAAGAAGCAGTGCAGTGGAAAGTTGATCTGATAACCAAGAACGCAGGTAGGGTATACAGTGTGGATATGCTGGACAGAGATGATTCATAACCATGTGGACAGAGTTGGGTGGTGAGAGTGCTCAATTTAAAACTTAACTATTTCTGGATCACATTTGACTGTGGGTAACTGAAACTGTAAAGAGGCACTAATGTATCTCTTCTCAATCTCCTTAGCATCAGGTTTTATACACATTTGTGCCTTATTTTTGTTTGTTTGTAATTTTGCTATTTAAAATGACCCCCAATAGTAGTGCAAAAGTACTGTCTAGTATTCCTAAGTACAAGAAAGCTGTGACGCAACACCCTGAAAAAACTACATGTGTCAGATTTGTTTAGGCATAAATTATAATGCTGTTGGCCTTGAGTTCAATATTATGAATCAACACCCTATATAATAAAACCCTAATATGCAAATTGACCAAATGGCAGAATGATCTTAGTTATGACTGCCACTGACCACCACGGGGTAGACATTCAATGCCAGAGAGCTGCCCTCTGGTGGTCAGTGCACTAGCACAGGGAGTGCACTGCTCAGCCAGAAGCCAGGCTCACAGATGGTGAGTGCACCGGTGGTGGCAGGAGCCTCTCCTGCCTCCGCTGCAGGCATGCAATAAGGAACAAGGGGTCCTGGACTGCGAGAGGGCACAAGCCAGGCTGAGGGACAGCCCCTCCCTCAGTACAGGAATTTCATGTACCAGGCCTCTACTATATTAAGTAAGGTGTTTTTAAACAGAAACACATGTAACACCAAGTTACAAACCATGTATTTCCCATAAAAGCAATGGTTCAGAATACCTAATTGAATCTTCATGGCAACTTTGAATAATAAGAACCAACCCTGAGATTTACAAGGTTAAAATTAAGACTCTGAAATTTATTATTTATTTTATGGGAATAAATAAATAAATTTATTTATGGGAATGATAAGACATGAGTTAGGGCCCTAACCAGCTTGGCTCAGTAGACAGAGCATCAGTCTGCGGACTGAAGGGTCCCAGGTTTGATTCTGGTCAAGGGCATGTACCTTGGTTGTGGGCACATCCCCAATGTCTGTCTCTCATCAATGTTTCCAACTCTCTGTATTCCTCTCCCTTCCTTACTATATAAAAAAAAAATCCATAAAATATATATTTTTAAAAATAAAGACATGAGTTAGGAAATGGACAGAGAAGAAAACCACAGAAATCAGGTGTGACAGTTGAATAGGTATCCTGTCCAGAGTCTTAACATTATTATAATAAATAGCCACTGTCACATCAGATGGTTCAACCTCTCACCTTACAACAGAAGGATTAATAAACCTGACTCAACTACAAACTACATAAATGGCTACTCTTCTGATCTGAAACAACAAAATATCAGCAATAGTAAAGATGTGAACATCATGAATTAATCTGCCTTTGGCCAAAAATGAAGACTGAGAAAGATAAGAAACAGCAGCCACTGAAGTCCAGGAATTGAACCTCAATGTTACTCCAAACTGATCTGATGTTTATAGCTAAAGCATGTTGTTTCATAGACATAAACAACCTCACAGAACCACCATATCAGACAAGGTCACTAAGCAACATAAAATATTAGGTCTAGTAACAATTAATGTCGTTTTCTAATACTTTTTAAAATCTAATTTATTTAAACAATACAACAAAATTTAATCAACAATATAGTTGCCGTTGTTTTCTACTACTTGTGCCCAACGCTCAGGAAGCATTTTAATCCCTCTGTTGTAAAATTCTTGTGATTTTGATGCAAAAAATTCGGTCAATGCATTTTTGAGGCATTCTTCATTATTAAATTTTTTTCCAAGAAGAAAGTTTTGCAAAGAACGAAACAAATGGTAATCGGAAGGGGCAATATCAGGAGAATATGCAGGTTGAGGGAGAACTTCCCATTCCAACTGGTGCAGTTTTTCAGCAGTGATTCTTGCAGTCTGCGGTTGTGCGTTATCGTGGTGAAGAATTACGCCCTTCCGATTAATCAGCGCGGGTTCTTTTTCTCTTAAACCTTGGGCTAACCTTTCCAATTGGGCACTATACACTGCACTTGTAATGGTTTGGTTAGATGGTAAAAGTTCATAATGAAGAATTCCTTTAAAATTCCACCAAACACACAACATCACTTTTTTCGCATGCAAGTCAGGTTTTGGCGTGGGCTGCGGAGCCTCATTTTTGTCCAATCATTGAGGCCGCCTTTTCAAATTAACATATAGCACCCATTCTTCATCTCAGGTAACAATTTGCTCTAAAAACAGCAAACAGTTTTGACGAGAGAGGAGCGAACTGCAAATTGTGACTCTTTGATTACGGTGGTTGTCGGTCAACTCATGAGGAACCCATTTTCCAAACTTTTGGACTTTGCCAAGTGCACGCAATTGATTGGAAATTGTTTTCTGTGAACAATTTAAAGTTGTCGCAAGCTCTTGTTGGGTAATTTGAGGATTTTGCACCAAAAGAGCTTGAAGAGCTTCTTGATCAAAATTGGACACATGGCCTCGACCACTCTTGTCATCTAACGAAAAATTTCCCTCGTGAAATTTCTCAAACCAACGCTGGCATTTTCTGGCGCTAACTGCATCTTGACCAAGAGCACTACAGATGTTTTTTGCAGCCTCACTTGCTTTTCTTCCTAATTGGAACTCGTAAAGCATGCAGTGCCGAATATGCTCTTCATCCGCCATCTTCTTAGCCCTAGTTTTGCAACAAAAACCAAACCAAACACAAACTTTTTCAAGCAAAACTTGTTAATTGCACTTCACACGTTCTGTAGATACCACGTGTTTGAAGGTTATGTCAATACAAGTCAACGCCAAGCAAGATTTTAAACAAATGTTTAAAAACGACATTAATTATTACTAGACCCGATACCAAAAACTTTCTCCTCTCTTGGGTGACTATTACTTGACCAATTACAGCTATGCCTCTGC